TACCCAGAATGGCACGAGGGTGGCATCCTACGGCCCCGTTAACTTGTAAAAAGCCCGACAAAAACGACTTTTTCGTGCGTTGTTCATCTGTCATTCTGAAATTGTAATTGTCGTTTTCGTTTCGTCTTCGCTCTGCTATTTTATTCAGGATCTCGTGCTTCGTTTCAAAATTATGCCAGCTTCTAAGGAAATCATGCGTCCGCTGGCATGTCTCTAATGTGTATTTATGCGTATATAATCAAGTGAGCAGGCTACATAAAGTTCACAGCATTTGATGGCAAAGACATAGGCTGCCACGGAGTCTCCAAAACTAGCGGCGAGAAAATTTGGGAATGGCATTGGCACATGGACTGTGCCTGGACTAACCCCGTGCTTCGCGGTTGGCTCAGTTGGCAGAGCAATGGACTCGCAATCAGAAGACTCTCATACCTGATCCCAGCAATTCCAAGGAGAAGATGCAGGTTGCAATGTGTACATAGCTGAAATTCAAGCAGCACCCAGTCCTTCCAAAGACTCCATACCACCTGACGACGGCCGGAGAGTTGATTGACCGGAACGTTGGTGCATACCAACACATGGGACGAGGACGGTAGTCCGAATCATTGTTCCACACGTAACGCCGATACCTGGTCCCAATCCTTGTGTAAAACTGTAACAAAAATATGGTTAAGGAAATAAATACACCTCAAACGGCGCACGTACACGCATGGAACTTCAGGGTGATGAAAACAAATACTACAGGGGTGTTAGTTTGTTAGTACAGGACAGCTTAGTCTTTTGACTGTCAAAAGGTGTCAGAAATTTTAATTTTCATTCCCCGGTTCGTGCTCAGGCCGGTATGAGTGCCAAAGCAGCCTTCATGCGTCTTATGGCACCTTTTGGTGGGCCATGGTACTATAAAATTGACTTTCTGCTATAACTGCATTCAGAGTCTGGGCTTGGCGTCGTAGATGGGAACACTGCGAACGCTGCTCAGACTTTGTGGGCACTCTCGACAAACTCGTAAAAGCTGTCTTTCCGCCTTGATGCTGTGGGCGAGGCCAGACGAAGATTTGAAGGAGCTTGCGCAGTGCTTTAAGATGTCAGCAGTGACAAACGATCACCATTATCCGTCACATCGTCTGGGGTATCGGGGGAAAAGGTCTTCTTCCTGCGCAACTTCATTACAGCACCTCAGATGGAACAATAGATCTCGAAAAAGGCCAGGCAAGCCCGGAGACTTCCTTCAAGAGTCTTTTTCAAGTGTCTTTCTCAGACCGTCTTGACCTCCGAAAAGGTCACTCCTGAAGGAAGGGCACATCACAAACATAAAAACATGGCTGCCTCTTAAGTTGTTGGGTGTAAACGCAGCGCACCAAGGGCGCTCTATTTCACGTGACGTCGTGCAGAATCTTTGCCGGGCATGTTTGCAGCGCGACTTGTTCTTTGTTTACACATTCGTAACTGTCGTGACAAAACCGTGCACGTAAACACACCCATTTTCGTTTGCAGGGACTTTGGGTGCTCGTAAGAATGGAAACTGCAAAGTTTGCTCTTTGCAACGTTTGAAACGCATTTTCATCACTCGCGGTCTGTGCCAGGCACGACAATTGACGTATTGGTAAATGAATGTCTTGCGCCATCTCTGTCTCACCATGATCGTATCGCAGGAAAAGATTCTGCGCGTTCGGCAAAGATTTTACGTGACCATACAGAGAACATTTGTCGTCCGACGCTGCGAAAACCACACGGCGCGGAATCTGTGGGGTATGACGTCATGAGTGACGTCGAAAGCATGTATTCTGCGTCGCCCGGGTCGACATGACCGCACCCGTTCTCTCCAAGGGGTCTGTTTGCGAAATGTTGAGCCTTAAAAATTGCACCCCTCGCAGACTCTGGGGCTTCGATGAGAACGCTCTGAGACCCAAGGCCATCCCTGTGTTTTTAAGTTTAGGGAAAGAACAGTTAACATGAAGGCCCTTCAGAGCTTCTTCGAGCTTGGTTAGCAGCGGATAGTAAATATGTGAGACGTAACGGGCCTAATTTCCTGAGGGGGACGTCAGAACATCTTGCTTTCTCCGAAGAAGTCTTTGACTGCGGGCCTGCTGCGGTCGTCGAAAAATTGACTTGCTGTCAAAGCTAGTTGGCCTAGCTCTCAAACATTCGACAAACACTGTCAAAGAGTCGCTAGGCCACCTGACAACAACTGTGCTGAAAATACCCCATCAAGTGATGAATGGTGAGTGCTTTGTTCCTGAATGCCAAACAACCTTATCACGTACGGCAACGCTGAGAGATGCGGAAGCGTACGTGACCCTACAAATCATCTGTAAGCGTCAGGGCACCTCCCGAGGAGGTTCCAGTTTTGGTATATGTCCACCTACGGCCCTAAAATTGCCAAATCCACCAAGTTCCTGGCGAGGGAAAACTTAGTTTGGAAACAGCTTGCGCACCACAGTGGTATCTATTTTTAGAATAAATATAGATAGCAGAAGCCACGTGACTCAACAAATCCATGCATAACGCCTGTAGTAATATACTGCCTCCGTTTTTAAAAACGTGCAAAACGCCAACGCTAATATTGCCGTCCGGAAGCCAAAGTCGAGTTAGGCTTTGTTGTCCCTCGTTGATCTCATGTGGCACCCAATGTGGAGGTTGCCGGTACAGGCAGGCAACCGATGCCAGCAGCCGTCACCGATGCGTCGGACAGTCTGGCAGTCATAAATCTTTCCCACTATCACCGATGCCAGCAGCCGTCACCGATGCGTCGGGCAGTCTGGAAGTCATGAATCTCTCCCACCATCACCGATGCCAGCGGCCGTCACCGATGCGTCGGACAGTCTGGCAGTCATGAATCTCTCCCACCATCACCGATGCCAGCAGCTGTCACCGATGCGTCGGACAGTCTGGCAGTCATGAATCTCTCCCACCATCACAGGCACTAGCTCACTGATACACCTCTTTCGCGGCGAGCAACAATCACTTTAAAAATGACTCCAGTAAAGGCGGTCGAGCTTTCCAATCTTAATCGAGTACAGCGATGAATTTGCAATCATTTACGGTTTTTATAGTCATGGCCGAAGCGATACAGACAACGTGACATTGGTCTCAATCAACGGGCCGCATGTCTGTGCAGCGCTCACGACCCAATCTTTCCCGGTTTAAGTCCAGGGGTCTTGCATTCGAGATCGGTTTCCGGAAGTGACTCGGGCCGCCTGTCGGTCGTTTACTGACGAGTCTATGGGCTGAGCGCCCCCGTCTTAAGGCGAGAAGGTCCAAGCGTCACCAGGCAAATTGTGGAGAGGAAGCATTAAAAAAGCTTCCTTAGGTCCCGGCAAATCAACATGCTAATATCCTGAAGAAAATGAACCCGGATACACTTGAGCGCAATTTTTAAATGTTTTTTTTTTCAGTTAACATCATGAAAGTCAGTTTTATGAGCTGCGTGTTATGGTATGACATAGCTCCATTTCCAAAAAAGCGCTTAGGCATTTTCACCTTTGGACGGCAGGACCGCTTCCGGATTAAGCCAGATGTCATAGCCGGATTAAGCCGGATTAAGCCAGATGTCGGGAAACCAGAGATGCCGGGCTCGACCCGCCGTGGTGTCAGCCCTTCAGCCCTTGCTGCAAGAAAGCCTCGCCCGATCGGACAGCTCACGTACAAACGCCGTGGTGTCAGCCCTTACTGCGAGAAAGCCGCGCCCGATCGGACAGCTCACGTACAAACGCCTAACAATTCATGCAGCGTAACTGTTTAAAGAGCTTAGCTTCTTGCTGCCAAGAACTGCATGAGCGTGCGATCAATAGTTTCGAAGATATTAGCTTTTAGAACACGTGATGGTCGGAATTGGGCAAACCACGCCACCTGAGCTGAAAATTGTGTCATTGTTTAAATAAACCTCAATTATCCTACGTTCTATCCCCTTCCCATAATTAAGCACTTTTGTGGGATGGGCAAACACCGGCCGTACTATAGCACATCCTACCACACCTGCCGGCTACACTAAGCCAGCTGTGTTGTTGATGGGTCATCAAAAGTCCTGGTGCTGCCATGAAAGGAGCGTCCTTTCTGTCAATTATCAGCTGCCACCTGCCAGAGCCAACGACTCCAGAAGAGCATCTACTTATCTGGCGGGAAACAAGGTCCGACAGGTCAACAGCGAACAGACGCAAGCAAGTTGATTAACGCCTTGTACCAAAATTGCCCTGCTTTTATCTTGGATGAACGCTGGTGGTGGATTTCCGGGAAAGAACTGAATTTGACTGCTGTCATGCCACCATGGGAGAGGGTTTCGTCATTTCATTTTGAGGTGCTGGAGTACGTTTTGGTTCCTCAGGCGTGGAGTTATTGATAAGTATGCAGGGCAGGACAGGCATCTTGAGTTTGCCGCTGTAAGTCACCAACTCCGCTGGGTACAGCCGCTCTTGGGCAACTAAGCCCAACGTCAGGCTTTCCCACATTTGATACAATATATCCGTCCATTAAAATTAAGTGGCGCCGCCACTTGATATTACTCGACATGGCGCTTGTTTTCCTCGCCGCGGGAAGTACCATAACGTTTTTCGGTTGCTTAGAAACGCTCCTAGTTTCCGGACAAGATTCGCGGCCCTCAGCTCTGCTCACATTACGGCGTTAACAGCGCGCACTTGTTGTTCATCATCTCGTTCATCTGTCCCATTGGGCCTAAGTATTCAAATAATTAAAGAGACAAATGGGCTGGGCTTGCAGCGCGACCGCGGCGACAAAGATAAACTAGCCGCTGGGCTCGTCATTAGGCGGCTTAATTCGGACGGCGGCCTCCTGACAGGCCCCGCCCCCAGACGCCTGTGATTGGTCGGCCGAGAGCCGGCCGTCGGCGGCAGGCGGGCGGCATGTCGGTCGGACGTCGGGAGTCGGCAGAGGCTGGGCAGCGGCGAGCCCAGCACGGCGGCGAAGCGAGGCGAGGCGAGGCGAAGCGAGGCGAGGCAGGGCGAGACCCGGCCCGCGGCGCCGCCAGCAGGGCGGGGCGAGTCCACGACATGGAGCAGCTCACGCAGTTCGTGAGTAAGTCGTTCGACCAGTCGCCGCCGGCGGAGGAGGCCATCGTCCTCGCGGCGCCCGTGAAGGAAGAGGACAGCGATGAGGACGGGGAGGAGCTGTCGCCGCCGCCGCCGCAGCAGCAGCCGGTGGACATGCGGACGGCGGCGTCGCCGGACACCTCATCCGCCGCGCTCAAGACAGACCGCACCGAAGGTACGCGAGCTGTGGCCAGTGGCCGGTGACGGGGGCCCGCTCCCCTCTCCCCCCCCCCCCCCCTCCGCCCCCGGTGAAACTGCACGGCTGCGCTGTGGGGGTGCAGCTTAAATTTTTCATGATGCTAGAAGAGGTTGAGATAGTTTCAGTACAAATAAATCACGTTTGTTCATCGCATAATTCCTTCGCCAAGAATTTAAGTGGATATGTTTGTGCCGTTGGTGGAGAAATGCTGACGTCTGTACGGGTATACCCGACCACAACATCCGGTTGCAGCGGATTTACGAGTCTAAGTGCTTTATCTTCGCAAACTAGATCTTTCGCCGGCAAAACCGCGTGGTGGTACGTTACAATGACTGAAAACAGGGGTCTCCTCTAACGCCGGCACCTGCGGAAGATCGCCTCGCAAAAACATGTTAAGCTGATATAAAGATGAAAGAGTGGGAAATCGGGGAGCAGATCTCGGTTAAATTCTAAATCAAAATGCATTTGATGTGTTTTACATGGTGGTAGGACAAGAAATGGTTGATATCATGTTAGGTGCGTCTTCACAGCTGTTACGTAAACAACAATGCTCGACGTGTTGAACGTTGCAGTGCACTACCCTGAAGTCCACTGAACCACTTTCAAGTGATGGAAAGATTCACAGATGTTTGTGTTTCTGGGTGCAATGATGGGTAGTGTTAAGTTGGGCACGTTGCGTTTTGCCTCTAGTTAGAGGCTCCGTGTCGTTTTAAAATACGTGCTGTAAACTGAGATCGCTGATTTAACGCATTGTAGATGAGGCCGTTCCACGGCTTAAGCACCGCATTAAACAGCCTGTCAATGTGCGAGAAGTCTCCCTTGCATTCCGACATGCTGTGTTAGCTGCCGTTCTCAATGGTTAAGTCCCCCTCATGTTCAGCCGTACTGTGTTGGCTTCCGTCCTCCATGGTGAAGTCCCCCTCGTGTTCAGCCATACCGTGTTGGCTGCCGTCCTCCATGGTGAAGTCCTCCTCATGTTCAGCCATACTGTGTTGGTTGGCTGCCGTCCTCCATGGTGAAGCCCCGCTCGCATTCCGCCATACTGTGTTGGGTGCCTCCCTCCATGGTGAAGTCCCCTCGCATTCCACCATACTGTGTTGGCTGCCGTCCTCCATGGTGAAGTCCCCCTCGTGTTCAGGCACGGTGTGTTAGCTGCCGTCCTCCATGGTGAAGTCCCCCTCATGTTCAGCCATACTGTGTTGGCTGTCGTCCTCCATGGTGAAGTCCTCCTCGCATTCCGCCGCACTGTGTTGGCTGCCGTCCTCCATGGCGAAGTTCCCCTCGTGTTCAGTCGCACTGTGTTGGCTGGCTGCCGTCCTCCATGGTGAAGTCCCCCTCGTGTTCAGCCATACCTGAGTAGGCTGCCGTCCTCCATGGTGAAGTCCCCGTCATGTTCAGCCGCACTGTGTTGGCTGCCGTCCTCCATGGTGAAGTGGAGTCGAGGTCTGGTGTTTCTGTGCTCAGCCGTGTGTCTGGTGGCCGAGGTATCCCCGGCCGTTGAGTGGTCGGGCATGCGTCGCACGGATTCCAGCAAAAACACCACTTTTGATGTTTATTGTTATTGACTGGCACGCGGGCATTTTATACGCTAACTGAGTTGCAAGGGAGTTCCCGAATAAGGATTTCCTGTGCTTCGATATTTTGATGATGCAGGGCTTGTTCAATGCTAAATCAAGACATTTTTGTCATGTGGACAAGAATACATTGGCTGTCCGACGTAAGCATACCATCCAGCTGTGGGGATGTGATCATAATAGATGTTGATGAATATATAATAGAACATATAGGAAGGCCATCGAGTGAAACACCAAGCTCGTTCAGCTTAATGCGATCACTCCTGAGTTTGGTGTCCTGCTTTGCCAGCGAGGCACGCGCATGTGTAAGCTCTAGGCAGCACTTCCCACTTGTGCGGCCTGCGCGTGAGATGCTCGTCCTGAATGGGAGGGTGTTTCCCGTGAAATGGACTCCGGAGTAATCCGGGTTGAATCGCGATGTATGACGTCACGAGTCTAAGCCGGGCTTGTGGTTCATCTGCCACCCGAGCAACCATGGGTGCCCCTGTGTGGGCGCACGGACCTGGGCCTGTGTGGGCCGTGAGACCTAGCTCATTAACTCAGAATGTTAAATTCCAAGAGCGCGATATCCGGCGCCCGTGCCTTGACGAGACGCGACACCGTCATAGCGGCTACCAGAGCGCCGGTAAAATCAGGCAGCTGCTGATGCATTGGCTGCGGTCCCGTGGTTGTATGATGATGGTTGATGGTTGCATGAGAGCGGTCCCAGAGCCCTCTGGTGGTTTTTGAAACGACGCGATGAGTGTTGTCAGCTTTGGCGCCACAGTCGCCTCCAAAACAGTAACAAAACATTCGAAGCATTGTTTCATCAGAAAAAGAGCTGAAAGATGTCTTTAACGTAATAAACGTACCCTTCTCTCCCAGGCCCCGTTAGCTGATTTATAGGTACCAGAGCACTTCACGGATTGGATGAGTGCACGGATTGTGGGTCAGTCCGTGGGCCGGATTGAGCCGGGTCAGAATTTTCCACTAAAACATGGATTGGGACCAGAAAGGAATTTCAAATTTGCCAGTTCACACGCATCGAACGGATTAAAAAAAGGAATATAAATTATCACTAGATGGTCCCCGAAATGCTCAAATGGAGACAACAATGCCGAAAAGTACCTTTAAACTAATAGGATATTGCAGTTCCAATTTCATGCAATGCAAGACTAGGGTACATAGCGTATACGTCAGTCACATATTCCGCAAACAAATGTTATCACGAACAGATTACATTGACAACTTGAAATGAGTGAGACACACTCATTCATGTTGCCAAGGCTCTAGAAATAGTAAGGTAGAACAAAGGGGGGTCGGAACCTAGTCGGGACTAGACCTGGCAATCCCATGGTGACGTCACCATGGGAACTCCCCGGGGCATTTATGTATTAAAGGGCATTGCAACACATGGTTGTTGATAATCGTTTTCGAATACTTTTAACCCGTTCTCTCCGATAAGATAAGCCTCAAGACGTTTGCTAGTATGTCTCCTAGCCATACCTGGGGTTAAAACAACTGTCGCTGGTCAAATATTCCAACACTAGCCCGTAACCCCGTACCATGTTTTGCATCCAATCAGGGCGATTTTTACCAGCATTAGAGACGATTATCAGCTTTACTGTCACAGAACATGTTTTAACTGCGGTCCAGATGTGGGTTTCTTCAAACCCGTGATACGTATAAATGAGCGTTCAGCTCAAGGGAAGGGAAGTATTTGAGTGTGCAACCACTGAGAAAGCGGCAACGGTTACATTCAATGCTAACACTCGCCCGGTTGGCCGGTTGGATTGGCCGGCTTGGCTCAGGTGGAGGGGGTTAATTTGACCCCCCTGAGATATTAGGAACTAAGAACGCTAGACACACCAAATTCACAAGGTATATTGACCTGTACGTGATCTCATTTAGGCCAAGGTTTGAGATTCCTAGGTGGTGACCTTCGGGTCAAACAAGGTTAAACAGGGTCAAATTCCATGCTGGTCTCCAAAGAGCCCCTGGAACCTAGACAACTGTTCCAAACAAAAGTTCACATGCTCATCTAAGGTCAGTGACCTCTTTCGACCTTTTGAAGGTCTTAGTGACAATCATTCTAGACAGCTTTGAGTTTTGCATTTGGATAAATAGCATAGATTACGCTAAGCAGTATGTTCCCAAAACCAAATGCTGACCTGGGTCATTATAGGTCCTTATTCTGACCCTTGAGAAGCCTATGGAAGGTGTATAACGCGGTTCCTATTATCAATCAATTCGAAATGAGCACCAGAAACTGACCCATACAACAATCCCTAGAGTAATAAGGCAGGTTGATTTTGACGTTATCTTCATACCTGACCTCAGGTCAATGTAATTTGCTAATTTGATTTTGGTGCGGCTACGACGCGCCGTCGGAAACCGTTCCGGAAAAACCTTTGGGGGTCAATTCAACGCCCCACCCGAGCGCGTGTTAAGAGAGACACTAGGAGTTTTGCTGAGCGCAAGGGCCGCAAAGGCAGATATAATCTTATTTCACGTTATGTCGACGATAGCAATGCATGAATCACTTCTGAGCACATGCATGAGCTCGGAACTGAAACTTTCCCACAAAAGTTAAGAACGCACATGCCTTTTTTAGATTGCTCCCACTGTGGAGCGTCGTAGCCATACCTAAGCTTAATTTGTTTGCAATTTTGGGCCCGTGCAGTTATACTCCCAAATGCGTAGTGTAGAGGTTACGCCCGTGCAGGCTTAAATGCAGATAAAGCACGACGGTTGGGCTTCTATGAGTCATTCTGGCAAGGAATTGTCCTGCTACAGGCTTATATTACGAGCAGGGGCAACATGGATTCTCCAATAAAGTTTTGATGATCTATGCCCAGTCAATGTCCATAGGGACAACATAATATTTTCAGGGCAGGATGAAGATCAGCCTCAAGCTCTAATCTTCTCAACCTCTTGCCCTCTTCCCATGCCCCTGACCTTTAAAAGTAATGAAATATTGAAAATTGGACATGAAGATATTGTAAACTGGCAGGTTGCTTGTGATGTGGATGACCCTGGCACTATGAGGCCCTACAAAATTGGGTTGATGTGTCAACCATGGTTAATTGCACATCTAAAGGCAAAACTTTAAGCGTCGAAATGCAGTATTTTGTTTGATCTTTTCTATATCTGCTGGTAGGCCGAGACAGACTTGAGAGTTGAGTGTGCAGAGCAGAGTGTCATTCTTTCAATAGCATTTTTATCATGCGTGTACTGGGTCACACTTCACATCAGTAACTATAAGGACATGCCTAACACTGACTGGCAAT